ACTGAAAAAATTGAAGTCGGAATCAGCTCAAACTTTCTACACAGTGTAAGGACATCAATATGTATCAGAAAATGTAATAAAAATTTGGGGTTATTTTGGGGCCATTTTTTTGAAAAAACCATGGTACATGTGTTATAATTGGACTCACCGCATAGGTGAGTATTAAGTACTTTGGTTCTCTGTCTGTGATCATGAATTTTTAATTAGATTTTTGAAAAATATTTTTAATTAAGAAACTAAGTGCTCTAGGCCAAGAAACCACGCCTCTATTAATAATAGGCAATTTTACATGCTTGCATTTCTTAATGCATTATTTTTTGTTTTGCTGTCTTATGCATGGTCTCTTAGGCAAATAAAATCTATCAAGACAACAGTATCTGTGCCATCACAATAGGTGTTAGTTTTTAAAGCTCTTTCAAACTTAAGTCAGTGCAAAACATGCATTATTAAAGCATTGAATCATGGTCCTTGTCTTTATCATGCTGCATAATAGAGATGAAGCCCATGTTTCATTGCTTTTACATAAATGCAAGAGTAACTGCACTGCAGTGAATCCAAGCACTTCAGGTGTCTCGTTGCTGATATTGTTTATTTATTTTAGAGAATATTAAACTCACTGATTGCTCCTGGCAGACTCAGTATAAGGACACCACCAATTGATGGGAGAATGGGTAATTAAATTTATTATTATTATTATTATTATTATTATTATTATTATTATTATTATTATTATTATTATTATTATTATAACAAGAAATATAAAAGAATAAGGTGGACAAGAAAATATAGCAAGATAAGGCAGAACATAATATTAATAAAATAAAATGAAATAAGTCAATAGAGAGATTTGATAAGCTTAATGTTTACTGGTGAGGATAGATAGTAATCCCCGCTCCATTATTATTATTATACACAATGAGAGACAAGAGAGACAAAAAGGGAAAGCCCATAAGGGAAGAAAAATAGAAACGAAAAATGGGGACCAACCAAAAATAGGAAAATAAAATAAAATAACAATAATAAAATAATAACAAAATAAAGTGACAATAAAATAAAAATGAAACAAAACGTCCTACAGTTGGCCATCCACCTCAGGGGACAAAATGGAAGACCGACCCAACCACATCTGGGCATTGGACCGCCACAGGGTCACAGACAGTCTTTGAAAAAGATGGATTATTATTATTATTATTATTATTATTATTATTATTATTATTATTATTTCAAGGTGTTATTTGTAGTTCAAGAGTATTATCAAGTGCTTATCCAAGACATGAAGGGTTAGTTCAGTACATGTACATGCAAATAATATTTCACTGTATGCAGCATAATTCAGTTTGTTATTTTTGTGCTCACTAAGTTTAAGCCACCTCTAATCCCATTCTATTGTACATGTATGTATAAAGACTGTGACCACAATAGGGTACATGTATCTAGTGTTCATGTATAATGTATCTCTGCATGTCTATTTGTAGTGTTCCAACGTTAGTTACTTCTACTTCTAATCAATCCATGATCAATGAAAGGTAAATAAACATGTATTGTTTATTTATTTGTTTGTTTATTTATTTTTTAATTATATTCCAGAAGGCTATCAGCTCCTTTATCATGGAGTGATTTTCAATCACAACTAGCAAACAATGGAAGCTATTCACATCAACGGTAATGTGCATACAATATACAGCATGTATGTACATGTACATATGTACATGTACTTTTACAATAGTGGGAATTAGTAGGTCAATTTTAGCTACAGTGAAACCTTTAATTTGATATAGGAATGTCTTACTACCTCAGATATTATATTCTCTTCCTGCTAGCTAGACACTTATACTTAATTTCTAAAAAAACTTTTGATGTACGAGTTAACTTTCCTCTTATTTCTTCTCCCTCTCTCTCTCTCCCTCTCTCTTCTTCAGTCCATCTGAAGAAAAGAAGGTAGAGATGTCTTCTGCTAGATATTCAATAAACCCCAGTCCAATGATCAACTCCATCAGATTATAAATGACAATTAATATTGACAATAATAAATAATATAATTATTGAACTGTTCTATTTATGAGCTGAGCTCTAAATACTAATAATTATATCACTTAAATACTAATATCACTTATTTCACAGTCTATTAATTATCAATATCACTTAATGACACTTATTTAATTGATTGGACACGCCCATAAAGTTAATAAAATGGCTAGTTATTAATAATAA